TCAAACTCGAGCTTCTCTAAATAAATGATCAAGAACTCGAAATAATAAATCGATTGAGTATGATAAAAAGATAGAACTTTTGGGGAGCTCAAAAGTTGGTGCTTTTTAAGCATATTTCAAGTAGCCTGACAATAACAAGTGCATTATCAATGAAAGCTCATCAGCTGGGCTGCCAACATAGCAAGTGCATTATCAATAATAAAGATTTAGTTTCAAAACTGAACAGGCACAAGCAGCAGTTTGACTTAACGATCAGTTAGATTTGGGACCAATTACGCAACAAAAATTAGTTAAGGACTGAAATTGCGTATTTTGGGACTAAAATTGCGACCGTCCCAATCTAATGGGACCAAATTTGCAATTTTCTCTCTAGTACCATTTTAGAATATATATATGTATAGATATTTCGTAGAAGGTTATAAAAATAAGTAGTTTTCTAACAACTTTGTAATGGTGGAAGATAAATGTAACGATTAATTGAATAATATTGTAGACAATTCAAAAGCTTGACTTTGAATGAAAATTTCTCACGATCGATAAATAGACTTTGTATGAACATTAAAATATTTGATTTTAGCATGCACGTAATGTTAACAATTTTGAATATGTATTAATTGAATATATTGTCTCAACAAAAATCTCTTTCTGTATGTATTAATTGAAGCAAATTTTTTTTTTAGTAATATGTAATATTTCTCATATATATTTACAAACTAAAACATATTTGATTCTTCCNAATTATTCTATCGAGATAATTTTTGCTAAAATAATCAACGTTCCACAGCTTAAAACTATTAAAAAACGCTACAAGTACATAATAAATGTATATAGAGGTGTACATAACACTCACATGGAGTGGTGTCCACTTGATTTTTCATTTTTGGTAGAACGCACTTAATGTGAGTGTTATGTACATCTCTATGTACACTATTATATATGTACCTATAGCATTTCTCAGAACTATTTATGCTCGTCTAGAAACTTGAATATAAATTAGAGAGATAAAATATATTGTAGGGTGTGCAAATCCAATCCCATGTCGAAAAATTAAGGCTAAAGGACGTGTCAACGATTCCTTAAAAAACACTTCTCCAAAAGGACGAGCTTTTTAAAATTATTCCAGTTCTAATCTACAGTGTCTTTTCTATATCAATTCGACACCAATTTTGTCTATAATTTTTTTATATTGTTTTACGTTTATCTTAAGTTTATCATACCTCTAAAATTTATTTAAAAATATTGATTATCTTAAGTTTATCTTACGTTTATCTTAAGTTTATCATACCTCTAAAATTTATTTAAAACATTTGATTATCTTAAGTTTATCATCTGTTTTTTTTTACTAAATCACAAAAATTAAAAAAATGAAATAATTCAATGCAAAAAATAAAAATAAAAATTGAATATAAACTACAAATAATATAAAAAAAAAACAATTAACAACCATAGATAAACATCAAATTAACATAACAACCGTAGATAAAAAATAAGACAAAAAATATCATTAACCATAATGCATCGATAAACATCAAATTTACTAAAAACAAACCCAACATAAAATGAATGTTGAATCTTCTTTCAAACGAGTTTACATCAGATATATGCACAACATATTAAAAATGTAATGCCAGCAGGTGAGACCGGAAAGGGCGGTACGCCAACAAGCATTGTGATCTCGGCAAATCGTCGAACACCATCCCAACCCGCATTCCATTAACAATTTGCCGCAATGAACCCATTAGTGTCGGGATCCGACGAGAATTTCATTCATGAGCGAAAAATTCAAAGTCGTTGTTTCAAAAATCAAAGGAAAACACATCAAAATTTCAAAAATAATTCGCAATGAAAACCAAAACTAAAATCAATTTCATTTGCATAATGAAAATTTTCAACCCTAACGCCCAAAAATTTCGTCAGCAATAACGTGAGAAACCCTAATTATAACATAGAGCTTTTTTATAACTTAGATCTACCTCTGTCCCTCGCACCGCCGTTGGAAAACGTCAAAATCGGAACCATCAAAATCGTCTCTCTCTGCCGTTTTTCACCACTTAGATTACACCACTCACAATTACCTGATCGCCGTGAATCTGTACTCGACGAACTCATTCCGCCAAGCTTGGTTGTTTTACCTCTCTCCGGTGCTCGCCATTCTCAATCGACCGATCTAAGAAGAAGAGAGAACAAGATACAGGATGGGAGGTTGTATATATATGAAGTGTTGGTGTGTGCGTGTGTTCTGTGAAGTGAAAAGGGTAGATAGAAGAGAAATTGAATGAGTCTATTGCGATGGGGAAGATGAAGAATATGTCCGAGGGGATTAAGAAAATAAAATTCACGTTCTAGTGGAAAGGAAAAAATTAGTTTGTAAATAAAAAAATTATCTCGTGTTTAAGGAGAAAAAATTATTATGCCTCGTCCATCAGGTAATTTTCTCAAAAATTAAAGGTTACAAGTCCAATATATAAGTTTGGTGGACTACTCCTTCTATTGTCAATTGGTTTTAAAATGAAACCTAATTTGGGCTTGTATATTAGATTTGATGGAGAACTGAGTTTTGAATTATTGGTCCTAACATATATGTGAAAATTGCTACACGGCTGTCTAAATCTAGTGCCAAAGCGAGGTTGTAAAAGTATTAATAAATTTTTTTATATTTATCGTCATATATTATTTACAATATAAAATATGTAAAAAAAAGTATTAATTAATATGATAAAAAAACAAAGATTTATGAAGCATGATATATTCATAACTATTGTATTAATTTTAATCCAATTAATATTTTTAAATTTCATATTGTTGGGAAAAAAAATCATATTGTTGTCTGTTTTTATGTATAAAACCTAAGCTTATTTTTATTATATGCTAAAAATAAATTTAACATGTGTCGTCTAAGATTCCTTGCCCGTCTAAACATGAATAGCTTTCTCAGCTACCCAACTAAAATCCAGGAGGGTGTATTCAATTAGGATTTAAAGTGATATTTTAAGACTTTTTAAGATTTGAGATTTGTTAAGATTTTCAAATTTTGAAAAAATTCCATGAAATCTTAAGTCTGGAGGTGGGATTTCAACTAAGATTTCGTATAAGGTTTTTTATTTAGAAATTCCACAAAATCTTAAAAAGTCATAACAAATCCTAGTGTCAAATAAATTAAATACCTCAGAATTTTGTAAAACTTTTTAAAATCCTAATTGAATACCTCAAGATTTTTAAAAGTTTTAACAAACCTAAATTGAATACACCAAGATTTCTAAAGTCTTAAAAAGTCCTTAGAAATCCTAATTGAATACTTAATTGTCCGAGCTTCTAGAAGGAACTCAAGTTTTATAAAATGAAGGGATGCCTAGTCTATAAATATAGAAATTTAAAGGGGTCGGAAAATAAAATGAAAAGATTGGGACAGGAGGCAAGAAAATGACGAGTTGACGATTAAGTCCATTGCCATCACACCTTAGTTTCCTGATGATGACAAAATAATTACGCAAAAGAAAAACATGTGGGAGGGTTGTTCCATTAGTGTAGGTGTGGATAGCGACATTTTGCAGTGGAGAAAGCAATTTTCTAAAATTAGTTTGGCATAAATGAGAGATTGCTTGGGTCATATGTAACAATAGCAACATTAGTAAATAGTTTCACCAAGTCTGCAATTAAACAATACACTAGGGGGAAATTATATAGCATCTTTGTTTATAGAAACTTTCAAAAACTTTACTAACATTTTAATTCAACCATTTTTTATAATTTAATTTTAACTCAACCCCACTATCATTAATATGATCAATATAATTAAATAATATCAATCAATCATTCATACACACCACATCAACCTTAATTTACTATTCATCAACTCATTTTAATATACCCACTAACAATTAACTATACCACTTTATTTACGAATTTTTTATTTTTAGTTACAAATATAATAACTTTTACAACTTATGATTGATTGAATTGTAGTTTATTATTGGTTTGTCAATTTTATTATTTATTGATCTATGACTCATTTATGAGAGTGTCTGTACGTCTAGTGACTAGTGAATGATTATATCTGAATAGCAAGGTACTATTTTCGATCACAATTGAAGGAGCCTTCTGGACTATCAATATATGATCGAATTTAACAAATAAAAGAGCCTGAAATAAAAATAAAACAATGCCGGTATCATAGTATAATCTTGATCCCATTGTACTATTCTTAATCTTGTATTTTGGGAATTGGGAGCCATTCTGAACAAATCTTTAATTAATCGCAACAAGCACCCTTGAAATATAATAACCAATTTAACTCAATGGAATACTTCTATCTTTAAACAAATCTTTGATAATTTTGCATGGAATCGCATTTGTTGCCCATACCTACATGTGATGTGAGTATTATGCATGATAATGTAATATTAATTTTTAGATATGAATTAATAATTCATGTAGGGTTAATAAAAATCTTTCTCAGCACGCGAGTAGACATGAGCAAAATCAAGCCGGAGTTGAAAAACCCAACCAATTTTGAATACGTACACGGAGGAAATTATGTGTTAATTTTTGTGGTATAATATTTCACTTGATTATAATTTTATTTTAATATTTTAATTTATTTATTTTACTACCTCCACATTACTAGTAATGTTATATAAAATTATTTCAAATATAATATAACTACTAATTTTTATATTATTAATAATATATGTTCTATTTTAATAAAAAAATTATTTAATTAGATATGTTTCGAACAACAAAAGAACCTCAAATAGTAGAGTGCCCTAATGGATTTATTCTAATCTACGGCTGTAGTGCAATTATCAATTTTCTTTATAGTTGGATCAATATATATCCATGTGAGTATAAGTGTATTTTGATCCACAGTACAAAACGAACAGAGATTTATTTTCCATATACTACTAAAAATATATGGCTTATGACTTATTTATGAATGTTTTTTATGTATACCTTTATATTATACGTAGTATTTTTTTTTTAAAAAAAAAAAAAAAGTGTAGGAAACATATAAATGGAAAAAAGTAAAATTATCAAGAACTAGGTGGCCAGAACAGCCCAAATTCAGAACAAGTCATAGATTTATCAGGCCAGCCAGGAATTCTTTCAGCCCAAGATCACTCACGTAAGTAAACGTTGGGTAGGATTGGGCCGGCCCACCGGCAGAGCTCATAAATTGTCAGCGTCACCTTTGATTATACTGAATCAGAACATAGAACATAAGATTTTAATACTAACAACTTTCGTATTATTACTTTCACAACAACAAAAACTTTCTAAACTCACCCCACAAATCATCTGAATTTTCAAACAAATATTAATAAATTCAGATGAAAAGATCTGTATATAAAAGGCAAAACAATGCACGGGACAATGAACCATGCTTAAACGAAATGGTTTGCAGTGTTTTCAAACGCACGATAATTGTGCTAACCAATCTGAAAGATGTTCCTGAATTCTGATGACAATGAATAATTGAAGTTAAATTCCAAGTAACAAATATAGCTCAACCACATTTTGGGACTCCGATTATATGTAAAACCACCTTTCACCGGCCTCGACCTCCACCAGCACCTGCTAGGATAAACGAAAAAAAAAATAAAAAAATCAAAAGTGCTAAATTTTTATACGCGACTCTTCAGCACACATGAAGAATAAAAATATCAACCAATGGTATACAAATTGAAGCTCGATTTTATGAAGAGCCTAATTTTATGTTCGAAGTCATCTCGATTAACAAACGAACGAGCTCTTGTCGAACACAAACAAACTCGAGCGAGCTTTTGTTCGCGAACGTCGGTTCGTTAACAACCTACTCAGGATACCGTTTAAAACGTACACAAATTGAAGCAAAATTAGAAATNTTAGAGAACAATAAAAACAATTACATACACACACCTCGATTTCCACCGGACCTTCCTCCAGGTGCAGCCCTGCCTCGGCTTCCACCTGCGCCTCGGGCACCTCCATCCTCCATTCCACGGCCAATACCTTTTGTTTTTGAGCCATCTTCTCTACCTCTTCCCCTTCCACGCCCTACGCCAGGTGGCCTTCTATCTGAAATGGAAAATTTGCATTGAATTTCCAAAGAGTTATCTCCAACTTTTTCGGAGAGATGAAACACACTTCAACTGAACTTTAAAACTCAGGGTTGAATTTGATACAACTACACATTCAAGGAGCACAAATGCAAATATACGCAACAAAAAAGGAAAATAATGCAAATACGAGGCGATATGTGGGGAACCAAAAAGTTTGCAGCATAAATAGATAAAGGAAAAAGTTTGCAGCATAAATAAGATAATAGCTGTCTAAGTCATAATACAGTCAATTTCCATACAGATACCACATTTAGTGTCTATATTAAACAAAGACAAGCTAATCCAAGAACTCCATAATATGTCAGCACATAAACATCTAATTATAAAAAAGAAATTAACACAAAGCTATATCAGAAAGGATTGTACCAGAACGGCTTTTCGACTCCTCCTGAACTTTATCAATCACCTGAAAATATAACATAAAAAAGTTGTCAGAATGTCATTATAATTACATAAACCACACATCATAACCATGACTCAATACCGAGCAGCGGGTTAATGTGAAATTAGTAACGGAGGACAACATGATGCAGTCCGAAACAATGTTCACGTGCCGAGACGGAAAATTCAACAATGTCCAATAGTCAAGTTCTATCATGTAAGAAAGTAAAATGAAGTTCCTCGAGAAGCCAGAAAATCGACAATTGGGAGTTTCAAAAGTTCACCTAACAATGAAGATGTTTCGGATAATAATAATATTAGACATATTTCCCAAGTCAAAACTACAAGATGTACCATCCACAAAATCTTAACCAAGTTACTCTAAGGAAATAGACTCAAAACAATCGACAGACATAAAACATAACCGCAAATTGAAACAATGTGTAAACGGATACCTCATCTGGAACTCTAAGATACTTAATTGTGTTCCCTCTGATGTAGCACTCCGGCATTCGCCAAAACCTATCTCCATCCTGCAAATGATCAAAACATTTTCACATAAATTATATAACACCAACATCACAAAAAATGTGAAAAAGGACAACATTTATTGAGCGAAGACAAAAATTAAAATAGGAAAAATGTAAATGAGATAATTACCTTTGAGGTGCATATAACTTCACGGAGATGGATGTTCATCCAAGTGTCGCAGTTAACCAAGTGACCATTGTATGTTTCCCCATTTTTCAGTTCCACTAACTGTTTAATCATGCATATTACCATTCATCAGCTAACATTTTGGATGCATAACATTCATAAACAAATGTAAACACACGCATATACTGTCACTACAAATAATTGTGAAGTAAACCTGGGTTGAATTAAGCTGAATATAAAAACAAAACTTCAGTTACTTGGTTAGGCATATAAAGAAGGAAAGCTTACCATAGGGTGACCTTGTGCAGTCTTGAGTAGTGAAAGCGGAAGCTACCAGAAGAAAAAAAAAAAACAACAAATCTATCAATCTCACGCTCACAAACACACAAAATCAAACCAATAAAAATCCTAGCATATAGAGAATTACCATCCTTTATTCCCGGCGGTAGAAAATGTGACCAGCTGCAACTATTCACAGACAACAAGAACAAAAACGAAAACAAGCAAATCAGCAGTCGAATAGGCAACTCACATTATAGAGCTAAAAGCAACAAACCAAAAATTGAGAACAAGAAAAATAAAGACGATTCGCATAAGCAAAACCCTAATCGCGGCAACAATTTTGAAACAAGAGACGGCGGCGCGGCCCAAACCTGTTACGACGTCCACAGAGAAGCACGCGATAGCTTTCGTCTCCGTTTCTCTCCCTACTCTACGGTCTGCTCAGTCGATCGTACAAATAAAAGGACAGTGTGGAGAAGTGAATCAAAATAAAAGGACGTCCGACCTCAACAAATTTAATTTGAACTTTAGCCCTTTGTTTTGTATATATACCCAAAACAATACAATTCTTAAAAATGTATAAATTATGATTATTGCCCAACTCTATCTCTATATATAAATTACCATTTTTTTCTCCCTAAAAAAATTGTGAACTATCGATGAAGTGTGAATAAACCCAAATTTTATGTATACATACTTTTTTCTCTTTAAAAAGAAATTAAGTATTAAATTTATGTGAATACTTCTTCTTTTTTTTCCCTTCAAACAAATTGTATTAAAATGATTTCCTATCTATTATAATCACAGTAAGATTATTGTTACAAATATTTAATAGTTATATAATCATAATTTTTTAACAAATATATATCTTTAGATTTAATAAAAGTAATTTAAAATAAATATACAAATAAAAATATAACATTTCATATTGTAATTATTTATTTTTTATTAAAAAGAAGTATGACAGGTAATGATTAGGGGTGTACAAAAGTTAGTGCTATAATTATCATACTGAAACAAATTGTTACATATAACTATCTTAAATAATAACAACAATAAAGTTGCCTTGATTTATCAACTAATTTAATTTAATATAACATTTCATATTGTAATTATTTATTTTTTATTAAAAAGAAGTATGACAGGTAATAATTAGGAGTGTACAAAAGTTAGTGCTATAATTATCATACTGAAACAAATTGTTACATATAATTATCTTAAATAATAACAACAATAAAGTTGCCTTGGTTTATCAACTAATTTAATTTAATATTCATTGTTATGTTTTATTGCTCATCATAACTCATCAATAAAGGTGTCGTGGTGTAGTTGGTTATCACGTCAGTCTAACACACTGAAGGTCTCCGGTTCGAGTCCGGGCGACGCCATAGACAATCATTTTCACCTGCATTTTTTTTACCAATTCACCAAGCAAATCATGTAAGACATAATATTTATATATAATTTTTGGCACTTAAAATTTGATTTGAGGACTTCTATCATTTCATTTATCACTAGTGTCTTTCACATATTCAGTTTTTTGTAATAAATTAATACTTTTGATTTTCAAATCCGACAACCCTATAATAAAATCACAACTTTCAGTGGCAATTTCCCCAAGTATTATAGCATAATATCTAATTTTCCATACAGCAGATGTTCAAACATAACTATGAAGCATCAATCAGTGCTTCTCTTTATTAAACTAAGGACATTTGTAACCAAAAATCGTACTACGGCCTCGGAAAGAATAATAGAACACGAATATCTATCGAACAACAAATGGGCGCAAGCGCAACTATTATACCACAACTCATAAAGGCTTGCTCTGAGGAATGCAAGATATCAGCCGTCTGTGTCGCCTAGATTCCTAATAATATCAATATGAACCACTCGCCAGCATGCCTTTCTTGTTGATGGATATAGTCCAGAGGAGATGGGCATCGGCTTGCACAGTTACTTTTTCCGCTTTTACGATATTTGATGTGCTGATAAGTCCACCGAATCTCATTTCCGTATCAGCTGAAACCACAGCATTTGAGATCAAATTAGCTGACATATAACAAATAAAGCATCCATGTCTTGAAAAAACATTGTGATAAACAACTCAAGATGGTTTCGAGGTTTATTTGCAAACTTACAGGATACCCAACTATTGTTGATGGCTTCAATATTGTCACTGTATATTATTGTTTTGCAATTAGGAGTTGTTGTTTTTTCTTAAGCTCCAAAATTAAGTGCGCAAAAATATGAAGGTTGTGTTTGGTAATATTGCTTATTTGATATGTTTATTATCTTCTTGTATTCAAATAAGCCTGGTTTGGTAGCACGGGCTTTTTTAAAAAGCTCGAGCTTATCATAAGCTTCCTTGGGTAGTTTTTCAAATAAGCCCACTGAAATTTTTATTTCAGTTAATTTTACAGAACACTTTTATCATATAAGCTAGTTTTTCAACAATAAATCATAAGCTATCAGCTATAAACTCAAAGTTCACTTAAAAGTTATAAGCTAGCTTATCAGCTAGGTTTACCAAGACGAAGTGATTATAGATACTCACTGAGATTCCACTTAAGCCCCGTGGTTGTACTACTTTTCGAAGGTCCAGAGATAGGTATGAGCCCACAATGAGGTCCTTCAATGGCCGGCTGTATGTAAATCTCATGACGATGACTGCAAGGAAGGAGTTGGATGAGGCAATCATCCGAAAGAAGAACGATTCTCGTATTTGGAAAACGGCACAGAACATTGATATTTCCAACCTCATGGTCAAACCTTCCACCAAGTGCACCAGCAACAAGAATGCCAAGCTGAAAGCAAAATACAGTATTACAAAGGTATAAAAAAAAGAAAAAGAAAAAGAAAAAATAATACTATTAACCTTGTTTTTTCAGAAAGAAGAAGATAAAAACTTAAAAAGTAAGCATACTTCTTGATTCTTCAGATTGGGCATTTCTTGAATATATGCAACACATTTATGTAAATCTGTGGTGTCCTGATCGTCCGATGCATCAACTACTTCGGTTCCCTGCACTTGGAACGACTTAATGTACAGAGGGTGATAATGGAAAATAAAGCGAAATTACAATGATAGCAGTGTATCTTAAAGCTAACCACCAAAATATGAAGAACAGAGTGGCATAATTTCAGTTTCACTTCAATTTCTTTTAATAATACTGGTATTAATAAATTTATGTTCCACAGATCATCAAAATGCCAATATATCAAATACTCTGTGGGCACAAGCAGGAAATATTATTAGTCATCTAAGAAACTGACCGAAACTTGGCAGATAAAGCAGCTAAACGAATCACATCATAAAGATACAGAACTATGAGCATATTTCATTGACTAGCCTCAAAAGATTGATAAGCGTATAGCCATAACATAAATAAAATTTGGAAATAACACCAATGGTTATTTCTAGAAATAACATAAAACCATCTTACCAGATCTTTGTAGAATCCCAAAACTTCTTCCCTAACTGAATCCATGTCTCCTTTTATTGAATTTGGCTTATACCTGGTTCCCAAAAACATGTTATGATAAGTAATTAATCAAAAAATAATAATTTTTCCTCTCGTATCCTAGAAGTATCAGGAACAACGGACATCAGATGACTACATAAAAACTGGATTTAAATGCCAAAGATTTATAACAAGTATCACCTTTGCCTATACTTTCCAAACGAGATAAGGAGAATCCACAGTAGATGTTGTAACTCAAAGGATATAATACAAATTGCCTTTACCAGTATAACTGATTTATACACTTTTAAGAAGTATATGAAAGAAAAAGTAAATATTGCCAGTGTTCGAACTATAACACAATTCCTAGCATCATATATGGTTTGCTTCTGAAAAGCTCCACTTTAATGATAAACCACATTCAACAAACTTTAAGAACCAATCGTTAAGGTCACAAACTCGTGCTCTTATTAATTCAGAAAGAAACTTTTTGCTGAGTTCAATGAAAAAAAAAATAACTCTAAACACAGTGGTTGCCTATAACAGGAATACCTTTCTCTATTCTTTTTTTCCATGTGGTGTTCATGCAAAAAAACCTTAGTCCCGCCTAATTCCAGCTTGATAGAAAGCAAAGTAACTATACTTATGCTCATGTACATAGAAAAAACTCAACATCAATGTATTTTAATTTTTAACAATGCACCTCAACAGAACATTGACCGTATTTTATCAACTATTTCAACAACAATGTCACATTAATACAATTATACGAAGAACCTCGTCAGGTCAACGACGGCTACTCGTGATTACAATCAACAATCATATCTTCTTAGGCAAAAATCAGCTATAAGTTTCAACCTCGTTCAAAAATCAGCTTCAAATCCGAAAAAACAACACCAATAACTTAAATCATGTTCAAACCTTTTGCGTATCTCTGCAGCATCTTCATCGGGAAACAGCTGCGGCATTTCATCATACAGTCGGTTCGCGCCGCCGTCTGCACAGATACGGAGCTGTGCTGCTCTACATAACACACAAGACAAAAGGCTGAATAAAGCAAATCATTATATCAAAAAACCGAAAAATAAAAATTCGGCATACAAATTTGAAAAGAAAAAAAAAAAAAAAACATGATAATTACCGTGCTTCCAGAGGAGAGGAGTGAACCGTGGGAGGCGCCGGTTGAGGACGACGAGCACGTACGTCAACGTGGCGGCGTTGTCGGCGGGAGGATATGGGAGGAGGAAGGTTGAAGAATGAGTCATTGTCTCCATAGCCAATGAGAAATTTGTTCAAATTGTGTAGTGTCCCGGCTTTGAGGGAGAAAACACGGATGAATTGTGAATAATATGAAGTGTGAATGGGTGGAAAATAAGAACTTTCAAGGAACTTTCAACTTGTCGGTATGAGATATAATCCTAAACAATTAAGAATTAGGCTATGTTTAGTTGCACTGAGGGGAGGGGAGGGGAGGGATATTAATGGAAGGAAGGGGAAGTGAGGGGAGGTAATGTAAAATAATTTTACCTTGTTTGGAGGGATTTTGTAGGAGGAGAGTGGAGGGAAAATGGTAAACCTTGTTTGGTTAGAATAATGGAGGGGAAGGAAAATATTGTAGAAATGATAATTATATCCTTAATGATGTAAGAAAACAAAATAATAAAATAATTTATACATAAAGGATAATATAGTCATTTTATGTGTTAAAAATTTTCTCTCTCCTCCAAATTCCTCCACTTTTGGAGGGGAGGAGATTTTCCCTTGGAGGAGGGATTTGAAGGGAAAATATCAATCCTTCCTCCTACAAAAAATTGAACCAAACAAGGAAAAATTATAAAATTCCCTCCCCTCCCCTCCCCTCAGTTTCCCTTGAACCAAACATAGTGTTAAGGAGGATTGAGATTTTTAAAGATTTTTTAAAACTTTAGAAATAGTATTTAATTTGAATTTGTTAAGACTTTTAGAAAATTTAGGAGTGTATTTAATTAGGATTTTGTGACTTTTTAAGATTTGAGTTTTTTTTTTTAGATTTTAAAATTTCAGAGGAATCTATGAAATTTAAAGTTTTGCAGTGAGATTTGAAGTTGGGTTTGTTATAAGGTTTTTTTCTTTTAGAAATCCCTCAAATCTTAAAAAGTTTAGCAAATTATAATATCAAATAAATTAATATTTGTTAGATTTTTTAAAAACTAAATTGAATACGCCAGTATTTCTAAAGTTTTAAAAAATCTTTAGAAATCCAAATTAAATACACCCCATTAGATATTAATTTGGGATTTTAGAAAGTCTTACAACATCATGAGATATTTAACTTATTTGAAATTATGATTTCTTAAGACTTTAAGATTTGCTGAGATTTATAAATAAAAAAACATATACGAAATTTCATTCCAAATACCACTTACAAACTTAAGATTTCACAAGATTTCTTAAAAGTCCAAAAATCTTAAAAAAACTCAAATCTCAAAGTCTCTAATGTCACTCAAATCCCAAAGGAATACACCCCCAACATTTCCATGAACACTCAATTAGCGTTCTATTTGGTTGGTTGGTTAAGAAACGAGGCAAATGATTGACAAAGAGTTCCACTTGTTTAAGTTTGTTACATTTTGATTTGGCACATTTATAAATAAACTTAAATTTTTAAAAAAACCGTTCGTGAATAATTGGTTTGATCATAAATTATATATGTGTAACACAACATTTAATTTATTAAAGTAGGTTTAATTATTTTTTCGTGCCACGCACACGACTCACAGTAACTGATATAACATCCAAAATAACTTAGTGAATTGGTCGGAGTAATTAACTCAGTTGATGTAGGTTCAAGGGAGTTTACCCCGTTGTCAGTATGTATCTCGAAGTACAGGTAGATCCAGTTTGGATAGCTCGGAGGTCGTAGAAGGAGATCGAATACTTGAACAGGCCGCATGATCCATAGGTCGTGGTTACTACTTGGAGACCTAGGTAAAGTTTATGGCAGGTAGGTCAAGAGATCTTGATTACGACATGAGGACTTAAGAGTCATACGGTAAGAGGGAAACGAGTCTTTCATGAATAGAAGGTGTATCTTGATAATGAGTCTCAGATCTTAGAAATGAGGTGAGTCATGAAAGTAAATACGGGAAAATCTCTTTCCTGACCAGAACTCTCTTGGACATCAAATTACCCTAGGTATATAGGGTAACCAGGTTTTCTTACATTACACATCGCATACACGCACGTTGAACTTGCATACCACTAGTTTATCCATCGAGCATATACTAACTTGAGCGTCAGAGATTCTACGTTGGGACTCGTCCAGGCGCATTGCAGGTTCTTGAGCTCGAAAATCGGTGTCCGTTCGTGCTGTTGTGGTTCAATCCGGTCTAGGCAAATTTGCACTTCAAGAACTACTAATGTTATTATTTAACAACCAAAATAAATTTGTCTATAATGGTCTGTAAACTAAGGCCGATAGTGCGCGTTATTACACAAAATCGAGTCCCGATACACGATCTTCATCATTGGTGCTTTCATTGAGAGTTTGTTGTTTCAATGAACACTAGATTTTGCGAACACTAGAAAAATAATGAATATACACGATCAATCACTCTCAATTAAAGCACCAATGATGAAGATCCTGTATCGGGACTCGATTTTGTGTAAGAACCCGCGCTAACGGACACAAAAAAATGTGTAAACCCGTACTATCGGCCTTGATTTACACATTAATAGGTGAAAAATCCGCACTATCGGCCTTAATTTTTCACGAAGAAAATGAGTCGGAGACGAGCTTCTTTCTTAATTTTTTATTACTTTAAATATGTCCTATTTATAATACACACAAACAACATTCAAATTTAAATATTCAAAACCTACATCTAACTAACTAACATATTTAAAATTTAAAAAGAAACTAACATAATTTATCTAGATTAATCCTATCTAAATTATCCTAATTAATTATATTCAATGCATGAAAATTCACTTCACCCATCATCATCCACACGATCCGATATCCACTCGAAAGTCTAGTTCACATCATAAACCTAAAACTTTTGTATACCAACAACTCACTAACTAAGAGATAGAACATGAAATGCTGAGTCGAATAAAAAGAAAAAAAAAACATATTATATATTGTTACAAACAATTGTGACAACCCAATAAATCGCGATCGATTTATCCATTTAAACTATTAACACGTAAAGAATAAATAAAAATGTATTTTGCTATTGTTATATGTCAAAATTACTGACCTAGGAAAGAGAAGTGTGATTTGCATAAACAGGCCAACCCAGGCTATCCAGGCCCACAACTCAAGCTTGTGGAATGGACAAAAATGTCCAAGGGTCATTCGCCAGTATCGTGTCGATCAGGCGATCCTTTACTAATTCAGGTGTCGATCCGTCTGTCAATAACTGCCGACGATCTCTATGCAAATGTGAACAAGAACCAACAAAGTAAACCAGTAAAGTGACCACACAACCAGTCTCATCATCAAAAGCCAAAACGAGCGTCTTATCTTAAAAAATCAGAATTTTACATGGTAACATGTGCCAACCACCAAACCTCTAATGTGGCATACCGCCATCATTAATTTATCACTTTATTCATGTACAAATGAGACACTAAGTATATCAGAAAAAACACAAGCAAAAAATACACAAAATATATCTACTAAAATATTTACTTTTCAATAAACAAGTACTTACTTTGCCGTACATATCAGTTTGTGACGATCTCTCATATTATTAACAATCTCCATTTTTATCCAGTGTTAACTCGATTTTATACTAGAACACATTTCATCAATAAAAAGAATACGTTGGTACCAAGTGTTGTCAACAATTATAAATTATAATAATAAATTAACAAGTCATCTATCGAACAATGATATAAATCGTTAAATTAAAAAAAAAATTCAAACTATTTATTATAACAAGTTATAATGATAAATCAATTGTTGTTCAATTGTCAAATGAGTTGTTTCATTAGACAAAAAATAAGATAAAATATTTATAATATATGTTATTATAAATTCACAAATAAAATAATTCTGACGTAATTAAAAAATAAATAAAATATATAACTTTAAGATAATATACATTTTTTTTTAAAACTAAATGTTAGTTTATAATATTTTGCTATAGTTTTCAACACATATACACATATATAATTGTTACGTCGTCGTGAATACGTATCATTGTGACACGTGTAAATGAAACATGATTTGGAACATAAATTTGGAATAAGAAATCTCATCTTGAAAGTTATTCTGACACGTGCAAATGAAACATGATTTGGAATAAGAAATCCTATATTTGTATTCGTTTGAGATTTTGAGTTATGTTTTAAGGCTTTTGAGAATTAAAACTTTTTAACATTTCCATATTTAAGAGGAATCATTGAAAGTCTTATTTCATTTGGAATGGATTTTTGTATAT